CACAGAAGGAAGAAAGACTGCATTATCTATAATACCTGTTGATCTGAGTAGATGGTCTTGCAGGTGCAAGCAGTATGCTCTTTTTCTAGGGTAATCACAGTTGATCAGAGAATAAAGTAGCTGGTTAATTCACTTAGTTCAAATTAAAATGAAAAAGTTTTTATAAACCCTTTTATAAACGATTCTGCTTTAGGGACAATTAAAGCAAGATGATAGTGATTTGAATGTGAGTCAATTGAATTCACTGGCACAACTTCCAGCTCTTACTAATATAGTAAAAACCAAAGTTTTTGACCTTGAAAACTTTGTAACTTTCAATTTATCAGTGGAAGTGGGGTTTCCACCTTTTTAAGATTCTTCAGGAGGTAACTGGTACTATCTTGCTCATCCTCCCCTTCATCCAGTAAATGCCAACTATGAGGTTTACATTCTTGGTTCAGCCTCCAGTTTTCGCCCACAAGCCTCTCAACCTGGTTGTCTTTATTTTTCAAAGATAACTTTGCATAATCAATCTAATTTTTACATGTTTAAGGACTGTATGAAGAAATTCCATGAATTATGTATACTAACCCATGGTGTTTTCAGCTGGATCACGCCTTTGTTCCTCCCTTACCCTTTGGAAACTCATTACCCTGGGAATGGCTGTCAAACCTTATTTTTCTGCATATCATCACATGTGGTTTCCTATAAAATAAGAAGTAATTTAGTACTCCACCTTTCTTTAAGTATTAACTTCCTGCCATATTTTGCTAGGTTTTTCTGGTTTTATAGCTGTGTAGATAGATAGATTTCCTTGTTCTTTCCTTGTTCTCCATAGTTCAGAAATATATTGTTTTATGGCACACTCAAAAACATCTTTTGCCTGGAACAGAGCATAAAACAATCCTGAAGAGATGTTACTTCTTGCACACAAATTAAGCTACTTTGGTGTGTAAATCCAGGCACATTTAAATGTTTATCATTTACACAGATCATACACTTTGAACATTTATGAAGGACTAGAACAAAGTTATCCTGCCACAGGACATGTACAAAAGTGCTTTAAAAAAAGAGTTGCTGTTACTTATAATTCAGTTTCTCCACTTCCTTTGACATCTTCAGTTGATTCCCAGAGTGCAGACAGCAACCCTTTGAGAACTGCATGATGTTGCAAATCCCTTGTCTCCACTTGCTGCTCTAACTGCTGACTGTGCCACTCACAGTTACCTTTTGTCTACAAACGTAAGCCATGCATGGCTCACATCTTGTCTGCACTAGTCCAGCCTGCTCAGCTGGACTTAGAACCCACAGAGTGAGTAGCACCAAGTGTAGCAATTCAGACAAGTTTCAGAGCATGGATTTGTTTGGTTTCCTGTTAGGAGTCCCTTGATGCCCTGAGGCTGCACCAGCATCTTCTGAGAGCCCAAAGCCTACAAAAAGAAGAATCAGTCAGGGCCTGGACTACCCATAATAGCTAAAGGCAAAGACAACCACCTCACACCTGGCCTCAACATGTATTGGGAAATAGATGCAATCACCCAGGTTCACTGAAAGTTGTAGGACTTGGATTTTCACTACAGTATGGTTTACACAGGAATCTTGAACAAAACATTTGAAAGAAAAGAAAGAAAATACATGAAAGACAGGAAAGTGAATAGCTGATTATAGAAGATGGAAGTCAGAATCAGAAGCTTGTGCCCATTTCTACAACAGTATTACCATATGAATTAAAATAAATCAGTTAATTTTTCAATACTATTCAGCATTAGCATTGCTGCACCTGCTTTAGTCACTATATAGCACTCAAATGCTACATACAAAATTTTTTCTTTTGAACAGTCTGAGACACAGAGAAGGGGAGAGAGAAGAGAAACTGAAATCAGAGCCCAGGTAGCACTCTTGAGAGAACAGCAGTTCCCTTTGGTAATAGCAGTTGCAAGACTATGCACACTGTAGAGAGCTGAACACAAAATATTTTAAATTATTTCAACAGGATTATCTGAAGATAAGGTTGCTTAAATGGTCCAAGCTCTCTTCACCAATCTTAAGGAAACTTTCCTGTCCAACAATCCAGGAGCTATTCTGGCAGTCACACTTGTTAGAAATGAAATAACTTTTCTAATTTTTCTTTTTTTATTTAATGGTAGCGGGCGGCCAAGTTTCTTTTCACAGAGTCTTATCAGCTTGATCTTTAAACCTCCAAGCTTTTCAGTTCCTATGGACTGGCTTTGATAAGTTTCAATAAACAAAGCCTGAGGGAGTTGAAGATTAGACATCTGGGATCTTAAATTTATGGTCCTTCAAAAACATGGTGGAATAACCAGAAGATACGGAGGAGATTACAATGACATTACAGCCTGAGAGCTGGAGAATGTGTGTCTGAGGAAGAACTATAAGAGGACCAAAGAATATAGACCAAATTAGCACTAAAGGTGAGAGATCAACAGCCAATAATGATAGAATACTAATTGCTGAAGAAAACTGTGTAACTTAGAACCAATGAACATTAATTTCTGTGTTTGCTAAATGTATAAATACATGAAAAGTCTTGAAAGGGACTTCCAAGCTAGAAAGCTAGAATGATTTGCTATGTATCTCTGGCCAGAATAAAGTAATGCCCAGTTCACTAACACTTGAAAGGTAGTGCTGGAGGGTTTCATTTCTTCCTGACTATTTTCAGTGACGCGCACCACCAGAGATTTTAACTGCTGGGACTGAAGCCCCTTCACAATGAGCAGCTCCCGTGAGATGACAACTACCCTGCTTGACTCCCTACAAAACCCACACTCAGCGCAGTCAGAACACATATCCTTACCAGCTCAACACCATGTTTCCCTTAGCAAAGGTTCAGATGTCTCGTTCCATAAAGCAATTCATTCACAGAGCACTAACACAGAAACAGCCAGAGCTGGTGCCTCCAAGAAGGGACCTCGAACAAAGGACCCCCTGGGCTTTTTCATACCCTCACTAAGTGCACGAAAGTTTCAGCTCTTCCTGCTGAGCCCTGGGTTTCTGCTGTCTCTGAGTGTTCATTCACCTGGCTGGGCCACAGGTCCCTGTGCCCTTTGTCATGCAAAGGGTCGGTGTCAGGTCACGGCCTCTTGTCTTGGGCTTCCCGCCCCCAGAGCTCAACCTACAGCTCCACTGCTGCTGCACAACGAGCTACTCGTACTGAATGTATTCCTCAACACCAAGAACACCAATCAATAAAATATTTGTTGTGGGGTTTTTTTCCTCCATTACCCAACAATCTTCCAAAGTATGTGTCTGTGTACACTTAAACTCATTTAATTGTGGAATACCGACATTCTTTTATGATAAGTTTTTTATGAAAAATGAAATTCCCATAAAGTGTTTCAATGGACCTTGTATGATATATAAAAAAGACTGAAAGGGTTGCATTAAATCCACCAGGTGCAGACAGTGACAGAATAATCAGGAAAAGTTACATGAACTTCCCTTTCTCTAAACTATCACAAAGCAGAGCCACAAAACATTTCCCAGATCCTCATGATAAATGTTCTCTGTCTAAAACCAAAAGCCACAACTACAACATAGTAAAGACTACCTCGAGGGCACCACTTCATCTTCTACATCCTGGTAAAAGAAGAAAATTTATCAAGTAAAATTTCATAGTGTTCCAAAGTAGTTCATGTCCTGCAGAACACCATACTTGAAATAAAGTTTGGATATGAGAAAGACAGGTTAGTCTGCAGGCTATTTTTGTATACATCTTGTTTCCACGCTAGCATGCAGCCTGCATGCATACCTACTCCTGTAAAAGTATGGCAAGAGCAAGACTTAAGCACCCACATGAGCTCTTTCTCAGACAAAAAAGCTGGCTCATTCCTCCCATTATCAGGGTTCCTTTCCCAATTGGCACTCCTTTGTGAGAGAAGCTCTAAACCTGGTACCCAGGTTAAAAATACCAAAAAAAACACACCTCCCCAGAAAAACAAACATCAAACAAAACAACTCCAGACTTACCTGCTTCTCATTTATTCTTAATGTTCCTTTGACTTGGGATTGCCAGGCTGATTTCTCCTTAATAACTAGGCTTGAATTAAAATGCAGTGAGAAAAGACACATTCCTCCTACAAGACAAGGTGCATCTTAACGAGACTGAAAAACATGTGCCACAGTAAAAGCACAGACTTGGGGACAACTCTCCTGCCGCAACATGGAGTTTCAAATGAGGTGTCTACTTAAACATAAGTTTAGGAAATTAAAATTAACTATTAGGACCCCATATCAAGTTCCAACAAAGAAGCCCTGCCACTGTGGAAAACCTTACAGAAAAGCTGTGCCTTACATAACTCCAGTGTACATGCACATTTTGAGAAGAAATTTTGGAGAAAAACAGTTCACCTTCCTGTCTATTAGGTAATACCTAAATACGTATATCTCTACAGTATCCAAGCATCTCCAATTAGGAAAGAACCTCAAAACCAAAAATGTAGAAATCAATGAAACTATGCAGTTCAACTTAGAAAAGAAAAAAAAAAGTAAGAACTCTCGAGGAACAGAGGAATTCCTACCTTACCACAAACAAACATTCAAAGTCATGGCAGGTTGAAAGACATCTGAGACAAGAATACTTGTAAACTTTATGTGGAAAAAATATACAGACGTCACTCAGCAAATATGACAGATGTCCAAATCCTACAGAATGGGTAGCTGTGAAGCACCAATTATAAAGAAAAATTATAACATTAACTTGCTGTTTCTCCTATTCCAGCTTAAGTAAATAAGTGTTAAGGAGATAAAGGACACATCCTTCCAGATATCAAGAAAGTTTGGTCATCCAGAAGAAGGCACAATTTGAAATAGATCTAAAAAATAAGTTTTGAGCCATGGTTCCTCAGATAGAAGTCTCACAATGAAAAGTTTACTTTCTACTGCTGTGCAACATCAGCCTGACATAGACTCAGTAATTCTTATGCCACTGTCAGGTACCCTGATGCAATAAAAGAAACTATGCAATATAGTATTACATTGACCCTCTTGCTTACTTTTTATTGAAATAAGGAAAAATATATGAAGACAAGTGTTTATAAGAAAAACTGTGAAAAACATGTGTGAAAAACTAATATTTATTAAAAGAGAAACACATTAAAAAATGTATGAAGAATCATCCTCATCTATAAGCCTTTACATTCTTTCATAAGACAAATTTCCTGTCTCTGGTTTTCAAATACAGTACATTCAAATCAGTGTAAAAGCCACAAAAGTAAACAATGATTGTTTGTCATTGTGTTATGTTACATATTTTCCAACTGCATAATTCAGTCCTTTTCTCTAAGCTTTACACAAAGTGAGGTGAAATTCCATCCCACAGCACTGCAGCACCCAACACTGGTTTTATTCATTCACATTTGTAAGGTGTGCCTTGACTATTGATGTTTCTAAAATATATAAGACAAGCAAATTCCTCCAACAAAGGTCTGGCTGAATTGCACACTGAAGTGTATGGTAGAAAATATGTAATTCAAACCTTCAAAGGAGCCTTCCTTCCTCTTATGCACAAAGAGAAAGATGAGACTTATAGTACTTTCATCATCTCATGATGATTAAACTGTAGGAAGAAGCACTACAATCCCACAATGTGGTTTTAATTGTTAGACATAAAAAAGCAAATATTTATTTCCTCAAAAACAAATTGTTTATGAAAATAAACAACATCGATTTTCTGTACTCAATACTGATTTTCTGGTAGACTAAAAGCCATTCAAACCCTTGAGAAGGGTAGGAAGGAAATAGCATAAAGATCTTTGAAATCATGAATGGTGAAAATAGAAAGCAAGTCATGACTGTTAGGTCTTGAAAGTATGCAGGCATTAGCCAGTTAGAAGTTGAAAGCAAAAGGACACATCTCTCTCAGTGTATGTGTATCTGTGGAGTTACTTCCAAGATGATGTAAATTGTAAAAGTTCATGAAGGGAGGTTCAAAAAGCAAGAGAGGTAAAAGTACAGAAGGAATCAGTGTTTCCTCAAACACTAACACACCTTGGACAAAAAGAGGTGCATCGTTCAGTGGAGTTTGGAAGATTATTCTCCAGATGCTGGAACTGTTTGAATAGACCACCCTAATCATCTGGCATCAGCCACTGTAAATTGAGATACTGGGCTAGGTGATTCCTTACTCTTCCCCACACAAGGAAGCAACATCCATATTGTACAGTACATCCCTTGAGTTTTCATCAGAGCACGTTATCTGGAATGAATTTTCAGTGTCACATGTACTACTCCCTTGCCAAGAAGATAATTTCCAGCTATTTGTTTTCAGTATTCTGTCTTGAACCTCATGGTTTTTGTACACTGCAGCCTCTCTGTATCCTCAGCTCTGGAAGCCGCTCATGTATTGGACTTATTGATGACCTTCTTCAACTTTCTCCTTTGCAGAGCCAAGTTCAGGGTCTTGAAGAGAGTGTCCTTGCTGTTCAGAACATTGTAGCGATTCACTTCCACCAACCTGCTGAAATCATAGGGCTCAAAGGTGAAATTTAGTGTACGGTAAGGAGAATCCTTTGACTCAATGATGAAGTCACCAAAGGATTTCTCTTCTTCTGACTCACGTTCAACTCCTGCAAGAAGGAAAAAAAAAAAATCACAAAAAATCCCCCAGCCATGGTAGACTCATTTTAGTTCAATTCTGCTAGGAGTATATCACAGATAATTCTACTGAACCTTAACTTTCCCCAAAGCTCCTCTGCAGAGACTTCAGTTCCTTCCAAAATACCTGGAAGCTGAAGGTAAAGTGCTATTAACCTATTTCCACTAGGCTCCAAAATACAGTACTGAAAGACATTCTCATTGTGATAAATTGTTCAGTTCATCTACGATTATCATGCTTAAAATAGGAAATATAAAGCTCAATTCTTCCTGGAAATACTGTTCTACACTAAAATAAAAGACACACCATGAGTTCAACTGCCCTTAGGATGCTAGTATAAACTCTTCAAAATATGGTAAGTCGTTTCTTTAGCACCCTGCCTCTTGAATTTAAATGCCATCTTGAAAGGTGAATATTAAAGTAGTTTGCTAAAAACACTTTGCTTGTTGCTGTTAGAGAAATAACAGTCTTGAGTCACATTCAAGCCTAACACTTTGAAACCCTTCATCAGTGATGAGGAAATGCAGCCAGGGCCTGGCAATCATTATGGCATTAATACAGACAGCATTAACAGTGTGCCTTACACCCCCTTGCCTGCACCGGTCCTGCATGTTCTTTCCTATGTATTCCAACAGTTTTCTTCAGGATGCTGTTTTGTCCCACATAGGAGAAAAAGGACATTAATTTTTTTGCCTGTCTCTTTTTAAAGGTAAATAGCTCCACGTTTCATCCCAGTGTTCTTGCCTGATAGACTTTACAGCCTATATGAATCACATCAAATGATTAAAGGATCATTTATCACTTGATCTCACACTACAAGGGCACAGGCCACTTAACATGAGTTACATGATCTGACATACAGATTGGTCCCCAATACCTCGCTGCTTAGTGGTTTATTCCTATTCAATAAACAAATGAACTCCTTACTTAATCTGATTATTAGTTCCTTCCTATATATTCAGAGTAACTAGAAGTAACAAAATCAGACATCAGGGCAGAAAGGTTCAGAAAGAAGCAAAAATTTAGCCTAATTTTGATTCTTCCAGCCCTTAGATTTTATTTTTTCGTCAGCCTCTTCTCCCACTCTCCCTTCCAAAAAACTAGTGGAAACTCATTCCACCTTAAAGATAAATAACAATTTAATAACTACAGGGTAATACTAAGACGAATGAAAAGAGGAGCACTGAGTCCACTGAATTTTCTCCATCAACACACCCAAAGGATTATTAGAAGAGCTCTTTAAGATATAGCTCCCTTACCTGGAGCCTTGTATTTCTGGAAGGTGTCATTCACTAATGGGAAATGGACTACAATTGGAGCCTTTGGATTATTATCATCCACAAACACGTAACACTCCTTTGGCTTCTTTTCATCTTCATCACTAAATTTGATTTTTGGAAAAGGAATGTCCCGCTCCTCACAATATTTCTGAGTCAGCTCTAAAACCTGTTGTCAAAGAATAAAAAGTAATTGCAATAGAATACCAGCTACTCCTCTAAGATCACCTAACTACAATCCTCCAGTTGATCTTTAAGGTCCCTTCTAACCCAGGCTATTCTATGATTCCATGAAAGACCTAAGGATTTATTTTAATTCATTTGTTAATTAGAGTGTGTATTCAACATCAACTGATCTTCTGCCATTTTGAATATGATTCTGTGCTTTTATGTTCATGTAATAATGTTCTGCTACATCTCTCGCTCTCTCACCTCAAATGGAGCTTCCCAGGAAAAATTGAATGACAAGATAACATCCACATCCCTCTCTGGCTGAAGTACCAAAGGAAAGGGAGAGTTGATGGAAAATCCACCATCCACTAAATACAAGCTCTCTTCCATGGGGGTCAGCTGGTTGGGAAATGCATCCAGATGAGTACCTGTAAGACACTCCAAGTAACACAAGTGACTATATTGGTTCATTATACACCTCTCAGTAAAAGCAACAAACAAAGCTTATGTTGGTGTTATAATAAGAAAGAAGACATTCCAACATGCACCTACATCTGGGATTGACCTATGAACTCTCATGATGAGCTTGCTTTATAGGACAGAACAAACACAATGGATCAATTTTTTTGTTATGGTGTAAGAAAGGGTATCTTCCCTGACTTCAGTGGAACAAAGTCAAGCTCACTTATGTTCTGTGACATTGAGGAAGTATAAACACACTATTTAATATCCCAGATACACATAGACTCATTTACCTTTCCAAGTCACAAACTTCTTGATGTTAACATAATCTTTATGAAGATACAATCCCTTCATGAAGTTGAAAGTTTCTCCACATGTGACCCGGGACTTGAAGAAATCCTGAAAAATTTGTAGCAAGGGGCCCCCAGGTATAACCAAGCGAGTCTTCAGTCGTGCTGGGTCTCGGAAATGGAATCTTCGGCAGTCATCTGCAGAAGTCACAGAAGGATGCAGAACACAAACCAAATGCTTGTCCAGCTCCAATATTTCAATCAGACCTTTTTCTATAATATTTAACCAGCTGTCCTAGGGCTGAATTTGTCCTCCAATGAGAGTATTGTAATGAAATGTAAATGAGCTGCATGTGCATCTCATAGTCAGATGATTTACTTGCCCTGTTTAACGGGAATAGCATTACTCATAAATCATTGTCCATATTAATTTCTACCAACACAAAGAAACCCTTGTTACCAAGTGACAACCACTTCTGTCACATAAGACAACATCAGTCAAGCGCAGACAGTAGCATTTGTAGTTACACAACAACAAAAAGGGTGGGGTAGGGGGCCCAACTAGGGCTGTAGAGGCAGAGAAGAAAAAAATCTCTTCTTCCACTAGTTATTACAAGGCTATAACTATGCACAGGAATAACTTTCAGCCTTTAAAACACTTCCTTTTCACTGCTAAGGGGGAAACGTATAAATGGAGATCAGTGCATAAACATATAAACAGCTTACCAAAAATTACAAAAAGCAGGACAAGGGGGAAACTGAAAGTCTTTTTTCCACCTCCTGCTTAGCAGTCCAGCTTCTATTCTTCCTCTTCTCACAATTACAACTCCCACACTGTAATATGTCTTTAAGACAGCTCCCAGAACTAGCCCAAATTTATAGTCAGATACAAATTTTTTTAAAAAGACAAAACAGAAAGTGTATTAAAAAAAAACGTAGTTCCTCTCTTCACCATATGTGTGAACAAAGGGAATAACACACGGGAAAAGAGAGGTCTGTCCAAATCCATCCTTAATGCTAACTCTTGAAACCTACACACAGCACATTTTTGAGTCATATTATTGTGATTAGTCCAAAACCATCAATCTTTTGAAAAATCCAGCTATTTTCATGTATGCTCTTACCTACAACTTTGATAACATCTTTGAAAGAATCTAGAAAGCTCAGTCCTATACCAACCACCTTCAGGCAGATGTCATCCAAGCTTGCCGCAAAAGCACTGCCCCACATTCCTGCAGGAGACGTGGAAGAATTTAGTACTCCAAAGGCTTTACACCATGTAACCAAAAGGTCTATAATTCTGTTGCCTTTTGTCATGGGAGGAGGTTGTCACTTGATCCCTACTATTCTAACAGGTGATGTTTGAGTTAATCATGTGACAAATTCTGATGTAATAATATAATGCAGAAATTTTTCCTAGAGAAAAACATGAAAAAGACAGCAAGGGAACAGGAAGACCTACAGCAGACATTTCTGACAGGTAGCTCATAATAGAGTCCTCTTGCAGACTCAGGACATCAGACTGTAATATTATGAACCAACACTTAAAACTCTGGAGAAAGACTTGACATTTTTTACTTCAAGTTCTTTAGCAAGGGACAAAAAGGCATGGACTTGAGTCCTGAAAGCAGCATGGTTCCTTTCCATCTCCTCATTTTAATCATTATCATGAGATCATACCTTGTAGAAAACAAATCCTGGGCTCTGGATGTTTCTGGACAAGCCGTCCCATGAAGAACTCACTGTCAAAGTCCTCTGTTTTGACAAAAGCTCCATATTTGCGAAATCCAACTTCATAGGGAGTGAACTCACACCATTCTAAGAACAAGTCAGCAGGATATTTACTCATCTCAGCAGAAACATAAGTAAAAATATTTATCTGCTATTGTTCACACAAGGGAGACAGAAGGGAGTTTCCCTCCACTTTTCATGATGGCTATGGATTTCCCTGCCCCACTTCTCAGTAAGCCACTATCTATCATTAACAAAAAAAATCATCTATTATTAACAAAAACTCTTGTACTGGTTTTCATCCCATCTTGCTCCATCTTGAGTTGGCCACTACAGAAAGAAATTGCCTATTTTACTTTTACTTTAAACGATTTTGTTGGCTCCCTTTTCCATCCCATACAGAAGCTACTTCACTTTTCTCAGTTTTTCTTAACACTGCATACCACCTCTCAGAAACTACTGCAGTACTAACTTGAAAATTCAACTGACCCACTGTGTCAGTTTTCATTGTCTGCCTACCAAATTTTCCCCTTGTGCCTGAAAGATTTCCACAAATAGCTGAAAAGTAATTAGAAAGATCATCAAGTCCAACTCCCAGTCCTGCACTGAACAATCCAAAAAAACACAGCATGTGTCTGAAAGCATTACCCAAATGCTTCTTGAACTCTGGCAGTCTTGATCAAATCCAATTCATTTGCAAATTCAGGTGATATCAAACCCATTCAAGCTCCTCCAGAATAAAATAAACAAAGAAAAAAGTCCCCTAGAGGTACGCAGATGGACACAAACATTTGTGTTCGTGTCTCCTGTATCTATCCCCACTTGTTGCATCATGTTTAAAGTTTCAATCTTCATTTTTTTACTGTAAGAACTCAACCTTCTAAAATCCACAATTTTGATGACGCAAACTACAAGGTGGGCCAATCTATTGTTTTACATTAACCCTACAAAAATTATTTATTTATCTGAGACTATAAAAGAAAGTGGCCACCTAATTACCCAGGTAATACTCCAGTTCTCTGATTCAGACACAGACGTGTATTATAGGAATCTTCTCAGCTCCTGAAAATTTCAGGCAGTTTCTAGTAAAACATATGGAGTGGTCAACAATGTTGAATCTCATTTCTCCATTTTAGCCATAATGAAGACCTTTGCTATCAGGATGATAACACTCTGCCAATCAGTATCCTGTTGCCTCTTGCACTACCAACTGCTGCTTGAGCCACATTTCCTGTTGTCAGCTGCTCACTACCCAAGGAACTGGATAGGTGAAAGAAATTTATGGATTTTAGCAAACAAAAATAAATTTTTATATACCTGCAAAGTCACCACTGCTCATATTGGGTCTCACATTGACAGCTGCATAGATAGGGTAAGGGTTCTGGGCCCATTTCACTGCTTCTTGCTGATCAGACAGCTTTGATGGGTCTTCCTGGTCACAAGCAGGGAAGGAGAAGCACACTTAGGCAAGCTCTGTACCCATACTTTGATAATTGGAAGCTGTTGCTTAGCACTTCTGATTAACAATACTACTAATTCAAAGTCCCTTTTCGTCCCACTGTCGAGACACACTGTTAGATTTGGTCAAAATATTTCTGCAGTTGCGTACTTAGAATGTGTAGTGTTATTAATGAACTTGATATCCCTCTGATTTCCAATCTCAATTATACAAAAAATATTGCACAGTAATGCCATTCTGCAAAACTAATGTCATTCTCTCAGGTTTAACCTGCCCAGTACAAAAGCTATTAATTTAGTAACAGTCATTCCAAGAAAACTTTGCTTTTTTTCTATAGCAGTGATCTGTATGACTTGAAAATTCTTGAATAAAGAAGATATTATGTTTATATCACAGCGCTGTCTATGCCAGAACAGTTCACAAATGTGGAGAGTAACTGGTTTCTTGACACTAAATACATGGGTAGGTAGAGGTCCCACCTGGAAGACAAAAAGCAGTACACATCCAAACATAAACCCTTTTACCTTCTGTTGTAGGAAAAATTCCACAATAAGGCCCCACAAATCCGTAAAGGAAACTTTACGTCCACTACTCTCCATTGCATTCAGCTCCTGGAAATAGTATTTCAGTCGTTCTGGGGAAAATGCCCCTGCTTTGCTGCTGGACACAGCAACCTGAGCTCTTCCAATTGCATCTTGAAGGTCTTTCTGTGACCAGTCAGGGTCTTGATACAGTGTCGATAAACACCTGAAAATGCTTATATTAATGTCATTAGTAACAAAGACCTTTGTGTAAAGAATAATTTTAGCTAGTTATAATTAGTGATGCAGCACTTGAGAAGACTAGTTAAAAGACAAAACATCGTGAAGAGTAGAGAGTCCATAAATAAAGGCTCTCTGAACTCTAAAATGTGCTGGAAACCCTGACACCTACAGGACAACTTCACCCCCATTGATAACCTGCTCTCCAAGGATGTTCGAAGCATCATTTGAAGGCACACATAAACCATTTCATAAACCTGTGCTAACTCCAGACCATAACAGCCAGGATAGACTGGTTGCCAGCAAGGGTGCTACTGTATGCAGCAATAGAGGCCATGGCCTTCATCAGAACACAGGTCTGATTAAAGAAAAAACTAGTTTGGTTACATTTGTTTGGAAATGTCTCTGAGTCAAAAGAGACAGGCCAGATCACAAGGTCAGTGGAAGAGAACCAGATACATAGGAGTTAATTTAACAAACAAAGGTCTGGAAGGGAGGGTTACACTGTCAGGTTGCACAACTCCTCAGTGAAATTATTTCACAAAAACAACTACGTAAAAGGGATGACTTCATCACAAACTTCAAGAACTGAGTTACTGAAACATTCTAGCCATGTCTAACATTTCAGCACACTGATCCAGTCCACAAAAAGGCAAGACAGTGCTATGCCTCTCTTCAGCCACTCACACCATTTTGGAAGGTGATGACATAGTGGCCCATGTGGACATATTTCCAGTGACTTGCACCACGTCAGTTATCTTCTTGGCAAGAGTAGAGAAGGAAGGTTTTTTAAGTCAGTGCCCTGAGCAGTTTTATTGATGTAATACGTTTTAATATTCAACTGTCAGACTTGCACAAGCAGCAGATTCATATATTTAACCAGCATCTGCATGGGTTGGACATGATAGTGAATCCCTTAAACTCCTGTGGAGTCTCACAGGTGAAAACTGATAAAATATTTGACTTTGCTGCCTGACTACAGATGGCACAAATGCAGTTTTGCCTTTATTTTGCGTCAACACTAAGTTTCTGGAGTCATCCCTGCATACAACTTACCAAGTAGAGCCAGAAATCCCACAGAGATATATTGCAGCATCCAAAAGGCCCAGCTGCTGAAGCCCAGCAAGACTGCCATAGAATGATGTCAGCGCTCTCGTTCCACCTCCGGACCCCAGTACTGCTATGACTGGAACCTGTAGACAGCAAACTCAGAAGTCACAACTACAGACTTTTGATTGCCAATAAATTACAGACTAATCCCCTTCAAGTCTCATTCAAATTTTAAGAAATATTTTTTTAAAAAAAATCAATATTTCTATTTACTTTTCAAGTAATTTCAGGTTTGATTTCAGGCAGAACTCCTTTCTCTGTTTTGCAATTGAAATCTATTGTTTATTATAAAACATAGCAGGGTCAGTTAGGGACAGCGACTTACTGAAACTGTTATGTATATTATCCCACATTTACTTTCATACAATATATGTATAAGGACAAAAAAGGTTTATTATTTTTATAACTGCAGCCAAACATCACCAAGCAAGGTATCAGGCTATGGGCTATGTAGACATAACAGTGTCCTCAAATAAGCAATTAGGAAGCTATTCCTCTGGTCTGAGCTTCAATTTAAACATTCCGAAACAGACTTTCCAATCACAGTTCCAAGTCCAAAACCCAAGATACAAGAGTTCAACAAAAGAAAGTACATACATTCTGAAATTTCCATGTTTTGCATTCCAAAACACACACACACATACCCCTCAAAATTTAAGAAATATAACAACACTTGTGTCTTAAAAACTAAAATATAGCAGGGAGGTATCTCACACCACAGTGAATGCAAAACATGTTTTCTGTTATAGGCAAGGATTCTTACACTCTCTAATTAGCAACCAAGCATAAAGGATTTTATCAATCTCACTACAGCACTGTGCGCAATACCTCATCTTTTGGAGGGGATTCTTTTAAGTGAAGAGTCTTTCTCAGTGCCTCAGATACTACTTTCTTCCTTTTGTCCAAAAATTCTCTCTCCTCTTTACAGAGGTCAAAACCCAGACGTATATCAAGATCCCAAGTGCTGAAATAGAAGTCAAGAGAAAAAACACCCAAATTTTGGAGGATTTGTAATCTGCATGGAAAACAAATTTTTGTGAACAGAAAATCTGGGTGCTTATCTGAATTACTGGATCAAACCATTAAATTAAATTTTAGTATATACACCAGCTATTTTGTACAACAGCTTCTGGAATTAGAAATGAAACTTCTCCACACCGTATTTCTCCCTCAATGTTTAAATTGAAAATTTGTGTCAAACAGTATTCAGATTAAGCTTCAGGAATTTCACAAAGGACGAAAATGTTCTCGGTCAGTGAAGAAGATTGTATGAGGAGCAACTGACATCACTGTATTGACATGAATGGTGAAATGAGGGGAAAAGCAGTTTTAAAACAGAAGTTTCTGAACTTAAAAGGTAGAAGGGGGCAACTGAATATCAATTAACTTGCTATGAGTTCATAAAAGGGGAGCAGGATCTTCAGATGACTGCATATTAAGTGACCTTGTCAACTTACTAGCCAACTGTTTGGTTTTCACTTATTCTTTCCTTTTTATGCCTTTCTTGCACCCTGGATCTATTTTATAGTTCAAGCTCTTCATACACAGAGGTATCCTTTCCTATTTGTCAGCACAGCACTGAACATATTTTGGGAAATATCGGTACCTAACAAAACTACTTAATATTTACATCATCAGTTATTATACATTTAAGTATTAGGAACACAAAAGTTGTACAGCTCTCAGCAGAACTGACACCAGTCCAGTAGATAGTATTTGGAAATTGAAGAGTCAGAGCCTTAAGAAGAAAAATAATCAAAGATATTTTCTTTTACTCTATCCTGAAAGATCAGTGGAGAGAACAGACTTCGCCAGAACATCAAGGAGAGTCACTCAGCTTCTTTACTACACAAATAAAGGCCCTTCCTCATTTTTAAAGGACTTTGAGGTTCCCCCTCACCTCTCTTCAGTTTTCAAAGTCATATCCAAACTTTGTCCCTGTGAAAAGAGAGAACACATCTTGCAATTGATAGTAATTGCACAGGTGGAACTACTAAATAGAGGTTATGATATCAACAGAGTCACCAGATACTAACCAGAACAGTACTCTCACCCATAAAATGACATATCTGGAACACCTTTCCCTTGCACCTATTTCAGACATATTTAATAGTCTCAGCAGAAAGCAAAAATATACTCAGAGAGCAGTGTGAAAGAAGTTATTTCTTCTGCAAGTGTCTTTCTTTTCTCCTCCTCTGATAATTTTCTTTCACACTCTGACAGACTTTTTTGCTCTGGAAACTGATGAACTTCATATGTACTTTGCAAGACCCCATTGTGAAAACATTTTTAGAAGAATTTCACTGAGTAATCTCATTATTTCATTCTAGATATCCAAGAAAACAGCACACCTGAGAATCATGTCTAGCCTAACTTTCCAAATGCCTCAAGGCATTGGAGGAAAAAGTCATCCCACACACGTTAAAACAAATGCAAAGTATTGACATTACCTCTCCCAAAGAAATGATTCTATCAACTTTTTCTCCAATAGGAAGGGAATTAACTGGTACAGTTCCCAATCCCAGAACTGTGGTATGCTTTTCAACCTCAGGGTTCACGCCATCCTAATAAAAACCAAAATCTTAATTGAGCTCTGCAGAAAAAAGTTAAAGATATGACTTTCATATGTCAAAACAGCAAGCAATTCTTAATATCACTATAGCTAAATCTTTCCCAAAAGTCTAAGGTTTTTCAAGAACATCCTGGTTTCTGCTTGACAGATCTTTGTCAGGATATTTCTTTCATTCAAATGGGGGGGTTGGTTGGTTGGTTGTTTAGGGGGTTTTATTTGTTTTTGTTCTTTGCTTTTTTAATATACCTGTCTGTCACAAGCAAAAAATCTTCACTTTCAAGTACAAAACTTCCCCCAAAAATAGTTGTGTTCTGACGTGTCAGAAAGCTCACCAGTGAACTTGCAATCTGTCTTCAAAGTAGAATTTGGAAAAGATATCAACAAAGCAACAGCATGAGACATACATTAAAAAAAAACCCACAAAATAAGAAATAAGATAGTTGCCCTAGGGACAAGTGGTAGTATGTAATTTTAAAAACTCTAATCAATTTTAAAAGCAGAGAAAATTAAAGTTTGGCAGGAAATCCTTCCGTTTTCTCCCACGTAGCAAGTGACAAGCTCTCTTAATACCGAGCTGTGTGCAGATTCCTAACCTTAAAAGACAAGTATTAAAAAAACCTCTTATCAGAGGGTCACACTCAAACCTACACAGCCTACCAGGTGGGATGGAGCCCATACACCCATCACAGTGCTCAGCCCTTGGGAGGAGACAGCATATTGAAGGAACAACAGGTTGTCACCCTTCTCACACCAAGAACGGAAGTCAGACGAGGAACTACTCATAGATTTCACAGATGTTTTCTGACCAATAACAGCTGTCTTGAGTCCAATGTCTGACTAAGCTCACTGTCCTCCTCCTCCTGACAGGGGAAAATAACATGCATTTAGGTACAGGGCAAGCAACTCTACCACATTCCTGGCACTCTCCTACCTCCGGTAAGAGAAGAAAGGTCAGACTTTCATGCCCTGTGCCAGCTGTTGAGGGAGTATGTTCTGCTAGCTACCAAGGGGGTTGGGTTGAGGTTTACCACCTGGTCCAATCTCCATGGGTGAGTTCTACTGTGTTTTTGCTTGCCTGGCTCTGAGTTTTTGACCACTTTAGACCAGGTCTCTCTCTTCAGCTCATGTTTGCTGTCTAAACAACCCCATGGCAAAGTTATTCTTCATATACTTTCTTGTGTCCTCTTCTCCATAGTTGCCTCTAGAGTAGTCAAGATCACCATTTGCTGCCCAACTGCTTGTGGGCATAAAAACATCATAGAATAAAGAGTTTCCTTGCTCTCATTTTTGGTGGTAACAGCCATCACAATGAATATTCAGCCACTCTGACAGGATGCACACACTGCATGGGTACTTGTACAGACTGCAAAGTAATAGAAAAAGCTAAATAAACCTTTACAAGTGGCAACTGATCTGCCAGTTTCTAATAGAAAGGATTTCCTATAGTGTATCTCAACAGATGAAAGTAAAGAGGACTTGATGCAGCAAGCATGTACGGAGTTAAATTTTTTTATCTCCGAGTTTGAAGAAATTTTAAATTGTTGTGGAGTATATACTTTTAAGACAATTTCACCTCCTTACGTAGTGTCAAAGATACAATGTAAAGTCTGACATTTGTAAAACAAACAAACAAAAAATAGTACTGTGTAAAAACCAATAATAGATAAAAACTTATCTCTCTGCCCATAAATTCCTAATACCTGCCCAGGAAAAAAAAATACGTTAATTCAAGGCAAGCTTCTAGCCTAGAAAATTTTGGTCTGAGCAGTTACAACACTACAAAGTTGCATCCAAAAGGTACATCTGTAAGTGACTAGTAGCCTTTATAATAGTTGGTCCCTAGCACCACACAAATATTTTACTTCAGAAGAGACTTCCTTTAATGCAAGCTTTTGACATCCACAGGTACCTGAATAAAAACCGAAAACTGACATCCCTGAACATCTGAAGAAGTCTCTGACCTTCTTATGATCAAATCAAGGCCATTCAATGTATATTTAAGGACATTTTCATGGAAATAAAGTCACCAGTTTCTGAGTGAATTTATTCAAAAGTGGGCTGTACACTTCATAGCAGTCAGCATGGATGCTTACCTGTAGGACAGATATGGTTTGCTCCAGCTGCACTTGCAGTTCTGGACACATTTCTTTATCCACATGAAAAACAAATGAGGTTCCACAATCCTTCTCATTATCTGGTGTCCAAGGAATACACAACTGCTTTTGATATGCCCCTGGGACAGACACCTTAACTTCACAGCACCCTGTGCATTAGAAAAAAAAGTTTATACCACAGGAGCCATTTAAATAAATGTTGAAAATCAGGTACTTGTTAAGTGTAGCTGAGACTATGAAAACACAAGCAAAAATTCTTATTGTGTCGTACCCAGTAGAAGTGACCCCATACTATTAAGTATTAAAAATAAAAGCAAAATTGATTTAAAAGGTAAATTTTGTAGTCAGTAAATTAAAATGCACTGTAGAGACAGAGAATCAAGTCTCCCCTCTACCCTAAGGAATAAACACATTGAAAAGTATTGCTGTCTTCAACTCTACAGGTAGTCCTACCTTGCTGTTTCTCTTTGGAGTTTTCCTCTTTGTTAACAGTGCCTTGCAGAGTCAAGCAAGGATGAACCTATGTAAAGAAGAAACCAGCATCTGGTTATACAATTTTTAGTTCACTTCTTTGTTGAAGTTTAATTCACTTACTATATTAGGTGTAGTTTTACAGATGCAAGCTGTCAAAAAAACCCCACTAAAGATTGTTTTGTTACTTCAAATAAAGACCAAGTTTTGTTTCAGTAGGACAGGATTATTTGCTCTTCTTTCAAAATCAAAACCAGCCTTCTTATTCCAGTTACTGGAGGTTTTTTGCAACCAATACTTCATAGTTACAAGTTGTCAACACCTAGGGTTTTTCTGGGTTTTTTACCTTTTTTTAACCCATGTGTGATTACCTATTCAGAACCTGTTCAGATCCAAGCAAGCACTTCATAAATTCTGCCATGACTTTCTCTCCCAGCTTGTTCATGTCCTCATAAAATTTAGTCTCTCACACAATTCAATCATCACCCCTCTAGGACAGTAGATGAGATACTTAGTGGGCCACAACTGCCCTAAAAGGTAAGAAACTACTCCACTGCCTAAATATAAGACTAATTTGTGAAGGCAAATTGGAACACAAAAGCTTCTCTCCTGTGAAATAGTTTGCAGAACTGTGCTGTTAAATGCCACCAATTTTTCAGGAAAAAAAAAAAGTTAAAACTCTACAATTCAACCACTATCCTTTTCTCCTTACAAAAAACATGACACCAGTCCCTTTTCTTTGGAGGGAGAAAAGAGGTAGTAACACCTGTGTTTTTAACATATAACACACTGATTTTCTTAGGTTGATTAACCCAAGAAAACAGGGAGGCATCACCTACTTAGTAATGGCATCAATAAAAGCTTAGATGTAATATATGTTAAGGTTAGAAGAGGGACTAGACCTGGCCAGCATCTAGGCTAGAAAATACAATACCATCTTCAAGACTCACTTGCCTCCTAAAGACATTTTTTGTTTACATTTTTATAGCAGCCCTACTGGAAAAAAAAACCAAAACCAACAACAAAAAACAAACCACACCTTTCTGTGAGTTAGTATCAAGTTTTAAAAATTGAGGAAGATTTTTAAATCAACAAATTGAAAAAAGATGCTGGAGAGAATAGGAGCTATTTGGAAGCAGGAGTGGAACACTCAGCAATTCTTCCTACTAAAAACTTACCTTCAGGAGTAAATCACAACATATTTGATTCTAACTTCCATGTACTCACCACAAGGACTCCATTGGTCAGTACCTCTGTAGGGACATCTGAGCTGAGAAAGCAAGAGATTTAATGTAAATGAGTTCTGGTTTTAATTTGCTTCATTCTACTTTGCAAACTAACTGTCTGGATAAGCAGTGGGGTAAAAAGGCCCTCACTGTGGGATATGTATGCAAACACCAAGCATATGTCCCTTCGCAGAACAATGGCAGTCAGGAACTAAAAAAATTTGTCTGCAACCATAAGCATGTGCTATAAGAACTCCCCATCTCAGTTATTTTGATAACTTAGAGGAAAGTTGAGCTTAGATAGGCTATCAGATAGATTAAATGCTTATTTGTGTATTTTGCATGATGAACTGTGTGGCTTAGTTACTTAGGAGTGGGAAGCTTTCAAAGTGTTCAGTTACTTCTCATGGAGTCCAGCAAAAATTATTTCTCTTCTGGTACCCTAAAAACTTTGGTGCCTGGAGCATTATGGTCAGCCTTCAATGAATCAACTCAAACATCACAGGGAACTATGAAGCATTAGCCTTTCTATGGGCAAGACTGTCCCTGCACAGAAAAAGTAACAAAGACAACATATTTGCAGAGTACAATTTCATTCAGCTCTTCAGGTAAGACTCACCATTTCTCCAAGTAAAACTCTACATCCAGCTCTTCATTAGCCTTTGAAAACAAAAGTTGGACACTGGTGACTCTTTACCTTGAATATATAATTATGAGACATTTTTCCAAGAGATTAAGCTTTCTTCCTGTTACATACTTATAATAACTCCCCATTAAAGTAACTGCTTTTATAATGTTTCAGTTAAATTTTGAAAAGTTTACATTCAGGTCTTTACTTGTTCTTATTGTTCTTTAAACATTCCTCTCCTCCTGGACATATCCTATATGACCAGACACATCTAAGTTTGAAGACACAAGTGGAAACAAGTGAGAGTTGGCTCTCAGATCCATTACTCTGCTAATGAGAAAAAAATCCCTCCTCTGGCTCAAGTCCCACTGCAGCACCACCTCTGCAAACACCTTCTACATGAGGCTCTGTGCTTCCTCCCATTTATTATTATTTCAGCAGCTTGCACTCTTAGGTCATTGCTGTCTTTCTCTTCCACAGACTTTGATCCAGCCATCTTTTCTCCTACCATAGCATACAGTAAATGTTTGATACCAGACATAATGCAGCTTTTAAAATAACCAAGTAGAAGCCAACCTGGGTAATTTTCTTTACTAAAATTGGAATCTTCAGTTCCATAATTATGGATCAAGATGACTTAAGCATTTAGCAAATGGGTAAAGTTAGTGGGAACAAGGAAGTTACTAAGCTTCTTTCCATGATCACAAATCATTTGGAGTGCCTGTGCCACTGCCCAATGCCTCCCTGTGAACTGCACACCAGTTAGCCTGTTTCTGATCACATCAACAGCATTGAAGTTCAGTTTCTCAAGAAAATACATCATTAGCTCACCTTTAATCCTGACCTATTGTAGCAATGTGTTTGTGTTATTTACAAAATAGATCAGATTGGTGATGTGGCTTTATCTATGTAAAACAGGCTGTCTTTTTTTAAGTCCATAAACAGGTGCACAGGTTTGAGAGCAGCTGCTGCACACATCACTCTCGTGAGGCAGAGGTTAAAGGTACTGAACATAGTTCAGAGAAAATAAGCTTTTCTTAGACTTCTGACTTATTAGATATAGAGCTAACCTTTGCAGCGATAAACTTGTTTTCTGCAAACTGATGATACCAAACTAAATAACACAGTCTGCAGTCCCCACAATGATTACTGACTGCAGAAGTCGTTAATTTTAAAAGCAGTTTATGTCCCTCTGAGTCTCATGAAAAATCAACTCCCTTTAAATGAAGATGTTTTAACATCTACAGAATGACAGCAGTAATCTCAACTTTTATTTAGCTGGGGCATCCCAAAGGTTGTGGAAAACACATAAAACCACTAGAGATTTTAGAAATATCCCAGTTGACAGTAAAACCATATATGCTGTCATCACCTGTTGATTCATTTTTCCATTCTGGCTTCTACAACACAGATAAATCAACCAGCACATACTGCCAGATATCTGTAATGATGAGCTGCAGCTGTCACAGTTGAGATGGGGACTAACCTCAGGGTTCAACCTGAAAGTGCGCAGCAGGGGCCGACCCGGCTTCATGCCCCCTACATCGAAGACAATAGACGTGAGCTCGTCACTGACAAGGACATCCTTATCATAGAGGGTTAATTCCAGAATGTTCTAAAACCAAACAGAAACATACAGCCTAAGATCAAAAGACAGACACTTCCACAAACCTGGGTAGCTGTATACAATAGACACAAGTGTATTAATCAATACTCTTCTCCTTTCCCATTCCTGAAGAAAATTCACTATTTTCAGCAGGGCTTACAGCATAGTTAAGAAAAGAAAGCTACTAGTTGACAGCATGTAGCTAAAATACTTTCTAAGCTTCCCAACTAGAGAGAGGCTCCAGTTGAAAGTATGTGACAGTAGTCTCCACCCACTTCAGGCACAGATTTGCCTGAGGAAGCAATAGCAATTTCCACTCCTTCGGTATGATTCAGTCGAGGAAGTTAAAGGGACTGATTTCTTCCCGCTCGGCACTGTCTCAGAGCTGGTAAATTCAAGAAAAACTAACTGAAATAGACAAAATGAGTACATACGGCGCCCAAAAAAATAGCACTGCAGCAACTAGTTTTCAAGGGGATGAGTCTGAACTTAAAATCGTGCCAGTATAGTGTGGCAGCAGTAGCCAGACTGAGGCCTCATAAGCCTGAAGGGGAAGAAAAAGTTCACACACACTAAAGCTTAGCTTTCAATTTTCTTACCATTTAAGACAATTACCATTCCACATTTGTCACCAACCATTGTGGAAAGGTACTCCAGTGAGGGGGATAGTTTCCTGTTAATAAGCACCTTATTCCAAAGCCTAGGATGTTATTCAAAGCAATAGTACCATACTAAAACTGACCTTTTAAAGTACAGTTTCCTTCCCTTTACCATTAATGGTTACTTTGAGAATGAATGCTGACAATCTGAAGACTTTGTTTAATTCTCTGCTAGGTCCTGCACAGACAGCAGACATATGTACTGTTCCTATCCAAGAGTTTGAATTTTGGTTTTCTTCATCATAGGAACTGCAGGCAAAACTTGACCGCACAAACTAAGAGGCAGTGAGTAGAAATTTGGTTCCCATTATCCTAACTCAGACAACTACACTGTGAAAGTAGAAGCAAACATCAAATATAAACTTGTTTTATCAAGGAATATCCTTGAACTTTACCACGTAGTGCCATAACTTGTCCTTCCTCAGTTGCATCACAAGGATGTTTACAGAAAATTCTAGCTGCAATTTACATGAGAGTGCAGTTACAAACTGCTGTGGCTATCACTGGACATGCATAGTACAGCTTTTTGTACCACTGAAGACAACTGACACCTTGCAAGCAACACTGGTTTTGAGGGTAATAAAGAACCCTTGGTTTTGAACAAAGCATCAAAAGCAAGCCAGTACACAAATACAAATAGTCCAACCAGTTCCACAAAGCGCACTCCTTACCTTGACAGCACTATGGATTCGATACTGGAAAGTTTCATTCCATTCTGGGTTATCAGAGTTGTCAACAACCTGAGTTCGGGAGACTATGGGAGATGCAGTGGGCAGCTTTAGTTCCACATAGCAGTCTGCCTTGGACACTACAGCAGAGAGAGCAGAGACAGATGTCAGAACAACTTTAATCAAAACATAACCTTTCCCATGAACTCCTCATTTTCTAGATCTCACTGCATCATAGAAAAGTGTAAATTTAAGGCTGAACTTCTAAAGCAAAAGCCTTTAATGAAGTACATGTTCTTAAACTGCAGCAAATTGAATATCAGGTACCTATATTTCTTTTTCTGGTCATCCAACTCATGAAGCCTTTAATAAAAGAGACTACTATTTTAAATGAGGAAGATCAAATTTTGAAAATAGATTACTGCTGATACCAGGCTCATTGCCTCTTGTCTTGTCACTGAGTACCACTGAAAGAGTCTGGCTCCATCCTCTTAATGCCTTTCCTTCAAATACTTGATACATATGAATGATATCTCCCTGATCCTCCACTGTGTCACTAAGCAGCCCCAGATCTTTCAGCTCTTCCTCATGTAAGAGATACTCCAGTCTTTTTACCACTGATCACCATCCTCTGAGTTTTCAGTCCAGCTCCCTGCCTGCTCATCCAACCCATGCTTCATCAGTTTCTCTAGGAGAATCTTATAGAAGACAGTGTCAAAAGCCTCACTAAAGTCCAAGTAGACAACATCCACCACTGCTATACCCTCATTTAGTCTGGCCAGGAGTTGAGTTGTCTGTTTCCATTCCCTGAAAATAACTGATTGTCTTTGAGTCCTTCTTTCTTCCAGTTAGAGCCCCTTCTTCAACACAATGCAAGTATGGGAACAGTTCCTCACTCCAGTTGGACAGGCCATGAAAAAGAACTCTTCACAGTGTGAATCCATCCCTCAGCCTCTGAGGAGGGTTTTCCATTCCTTGAACAGCTATTTAGTGTTCCAAGTAGTTCAGTGTTGGATGCCAGATATAAACTTAAGGTAGACTACCTTACTGGATTAAATCTGAAGTAATTAAATCTCAAATGAGTTTTAAAGATCCAAATACCTCAAACATCCCTGAGATGTTTACACAGATGTATAAATGGAAGGAAATATATACCATGCTATCAAAACCAGGAACAGATAGAAAGCAGCTTGTCTTGGAATCAGTCAACCACCTACTTCCTTAAAGGCTTCAATAGCAAATAACAGGTACATGAAATAAAGCCCTACTACAGCTGAGAAAATAAACATTTGGAAGCTAGAACTGAAGATTTCTATTCCAGGTTCATGAAGACTGTTCAGCAGGAGCAAGGATGAGACTTGTCATGATCAGAGGGCTGAATCTAGAGAAAGGAATACAGAATAGGCCACAGTAGGACAGGTAAAGGAGCAGGGAAGAAAAACATTATCAGCACTTGGTCTTATTCTGCAAAGTAGCAGGCTTAATCTGCAGCTTGGCCTCACATCAAGATTTTAAAGTATACATAATGCTTTACAAGAGAAGCTTTTGTTCAGACATAAAGGCAAGTATGTCCTTAACAATGCTACCTGTGTTAGAGGTATGCAGTGAACAACCAACCTGTTTTCATAACACCTTGACTAAATACTTACACAGATCTGTACCCTTGATGTTTCTGGCTCGGAGGACTTTCACTGTTAGGTTGTAGTAAGGGTGCTTTTCCCACTGAAAAGAAAGGAACAAGCTAAGTATTTAACTCAGTTGCAATGCCTGTTCTATAAACACACTAGCATAAGTCCAGAGAAACAGATCGGACCAGCCAGCTCAAAATAAACTACTAATGAGTCTGTTTGGGAATCTCTGTAGCACTTTCAGTGTCCTGAAGGAAGACCAAAGGAGTACAGAAGGAAACTCAATTCCCTTTCAGCAGCACAAGTGATGTCACAGTAACTCCTCATAGACTTCAGAAAATAAATCCCTTATTCAGGGTTTCCTCTAATTAAAGACCAGTTTTTAATTGCTTCCTTAGTACATTCTTGCTGAGGGATAAACAGATACTGAAGCTGCTGAAATAATTATGATCATGACTCGACTAGTTTAAGACTGCTTGCCAAGGGCACATGCATGCTTGAGTAAAAGCAGACATGGTAAGAATCTTCACAGCATGGTCTCAAGACATAGAAGGCATATGCTGTTTACAGTGAGGAAAAAAACAACTAGCACTTTCTTGCAGGAACACAAACTTCATGGCAGTTTATTCCTTCTCATTCTGGACTGTTACTGATATCACCACTCTAAACATGCATGTGACTTTACCAACACAGATCAAAATGTAATTCATCCTCCTGAAAGCTTCTGGGAGACTATTGTTGGAAAGTAATATTAGTATCTAAATGCCAGCATGTGAAGTGGGAAAAAAAGCCCGACTGGATTCTAGAAGATCATGAAGGAAAAATGGGGGGGAGGGCAGGAGAAGACAAGAGAAAACAGCATGGAGTGACTTAGTACAAAGACTGCACAAAAGAATTGTGTAGGGCTCAGGAACAGAATGGGATTCTGTCTCACTTTCACCAATTAGGACACAATCCTGGCCAGCTAGGAACTTTTTCTACTCTTAAATCACATTTTCAAAATGCTTTTCACAAGTATTAAATAGTTTACATTCATAATTTCCTACATGGTTGGCTTGAGACCAGAGTTTAACTTCAGATACGCTAACTATTCATCTCCAACTGAATTCAACAGGATCTTCACTTACAAAAAAATGCTGCAGACTGACAAATGAGGCACTGAAACAGATTTCCCAGAGAAGTTGTGGATGGCCCATTCCTGTGAGTGTTCAAGGCCAGTCTGGATGGAGTTCTGAGCAGCCTCCTCTAGTGAAAGGTACGCCTGCCCATGGCAGGGCGGTTGAAACTAGATAATCTACAAGGTCCCTTCCAACCCAAAACATTCTATAATTCTATGAAATATTATGAAAATATATACATATCACTGCACACTACATATCACTAACAGGAATCTCAAGGAAGCCAGTGAACCTTGAACTGTTAAACTCTTCTTGAATATTCCTTATCTGATAAATGCAACTATACTATGTTTGTTAAGCACTCATGCACGTGGCAAGTTTTCCTCATTCTTAATCACGTGGAGATACTTGCCAGCTTTTGCAAAACAAGGTTCAAATAACACAATAAAACCAAGGCATACTGAACATCTTTGTACTAACAAGTACCATCCACTCTGACCAACAAGCAAAGGGTAAAAATTACATGCATCATCTAAGACACCACACATGCAGGTGCCAAATTAAATTTGGACAAATGAACTCCAATTATACTATTATTTGCAGCACTGACATGTTGAAGATACTCATTCCTTTATTTGTTTCTGGGAACAAGACATGCCTTTACATCTAATTTCACCATGAGCTTCACCTTTGAGATGCTAGTTTTAATTCCTTTTTAAACCTTTCCTAATCACTTTTCTTTTATTCAGTCACTGACACTACTTTCTCAGGCAAAGCCTAACCTCCTTTCTACCTCAACAAGTTGGGAAATGCATTACAGAGAGAAATTCAAGGTGGTGTATGCCATTCTCACCAACTTCCTAAAGTTGCTGCAACTCTTCTGGTTTTTCAGAAATAATCACATCCCCACAGCTATGAAAGCAATCTTCACTCACATAGCCTGGCTATCACCTGAAATTCACACACTGTTAGCAGAGGAAGCTCAGAACACCCTGAAGACAGCCTGTCTTTCTTTTATTGCACACCATCTGTCAAAATGTAGCTACACGCTCAAAAAAAAAGTCCTTTCCAAAGGTCTCTAAAAACCTTTGATTTGCAGCCAGTCATTACACAGCTGAGGATAAATTTTCCACACCCAGATCGTAATTTAAGGGCCTAGAACCCAACAGACATTTCACTGTGCTCCCAAGCCTGTGCTACCAATTATGCCAGAACCTTCTCATATGCCTTTTGTACTTATCTTTTAGCCAAGGCATAGCAAGGTCATAGCATGTTGCCAGGTGAGCTTGCAAAGTAATGAAGCATGGGAGTATCAGATATGCTTTATCTGAACGATCAAGGAAAAGGCAGGAAATCTGTATGGGAAATGGACAACAAATACAGGTGACAGTTCTGTCTATACCAGTATACACGGCAGCATACCAGTGTATGTGACAGATGCAAGCAACTAATTTCTATTTTGCAGCTTAATGATTTTTCAGAATCACTGCTTTTCCAGAGCTTAGGAGAGTCCATCTGAAGAAAAAAAAAGCCAACCCTTTAAATTCTAAAATGATGGTACAAGACTGAATTTCCACATTCTTAACTTCGCTAACAACTGTCTGTACCTTTCATCTAAACTGAAGGTGCTGATGCAGCAGCAAGCAACTGTAAAACTAGTCATCCCCACTGCAGAACCCAGTAGTCTTTACTCTCATATAGCCCAGAATAACTGTCTTTATACAGTGGGATGTAAGCATTGGGATCCACTCCACATCTCTCAGTGCATGTCAGTTTCATTATAAAAATGTTGTCATATAAATAAAATTAAAATATATATTTTGTGTTCACAGTTACTGGGAAAATCAGGTAGCTCAAAGAAATGTCCAGTTTACCAATGGAGCACTTTCTCCCCATCTTGTTCCTGCTCCCCAATAAACATGCTGCCTTTCCTTGTGGCCCAAGCGCCACAAGTTTGCTTTTAAACCCATAAGCAAACACCTGGCTTTCCTAGGCACTCCTCGCAGTTTCCCTCCTCCCCCAGGAGTGTGCATCTGCAGTCATGAAAGGAGATTTACAGATGCAGCCTTAAGAACCACGGTCTTTTGGCAGGCAAGATTTAATAGTTAGTCAGGTGATGAGTAGTGCTAGCACCTCAGTAACACAACAGCAATAGCAAACACTGGGCTCACTCTCAGTTTATTATTAAATTATGTTTGCCTTTAGAACTAAAGCTAAACTCTGGGAAATTAAAGAGATCTGATCGTGTTCAATTCACCTACAGAGCCAAAAGGGTCATCTGCTGCCTCACTCCTTGCTCAATTGCTATCAGTTAGACAGTACAAAATCTCTTCCTACCAGCCAGTCCAACTTCTCTAAGTAGTGTTAACCTTTTAAATTTTGTTTGTATAGTGAGCACTAAAGGGGAAATATCATATTCAGTGGTTTGCAGGTTAAAGGAGGCTAACACTAGTCTCTTCTACCCTGGTTTCTCAAGTACTAAATGACAACATTAAAAAGTCAACAAGATAATTTTTATCATGCAGCAAGCAGAAGTGCAAAAAGGCATACAGGCAGCAAGTAATTTTGTGACATTTAATGGTCATGTCAATTTTAAGTTGTATATTGAGGGATTGGTGTGAGACAACATGACACAGGTGATCAGATTAGAGACCAGATCTCCTAGTCAAAGGCTCCTTCACAAACATTTAATGTAATTCAAAACTGAGGTTCTTGGTCAGACTGTGTTACACAATTAAATGATTTCACACCACTCAAAGGACAAACACATCAAAACCACCTTATCTGTTGTGGTTGCACATTTTGAACAGGGACTGACATCATTATTATTTGTCTACTTGAGACCATTAATCCCCGTAGGATAAGATAGAGAGCATAATGGAAGGATATTTTGTCACAAGACATATAAGCATGGTTTTGTCTCTGCTAATGAGAAGTCCAGTATTCTGGACTGTCCCCCTTGGCATCAGCTTGTGTTCCCCAAAAACTAAGGAAACACAGACCTGCTCTGCATTTCCTCACACAGACCCTAAATTTAAAAGCCTGGCATCTCCATTAGCATTATCATTCAGGGCAAATTTTAAATAACGACAAACTTTTTAATTCCTGTGGAAGTACAGAACTGGTTTTCCACACGTGCAGTAACAGGAAGTCACTACTGAACACATTAGCCAAAGAAAGCCATCTCAAAGACAGCACTACAATTTGTCTTACCCGCCAGTGATAAAACCCAGTCTCTTTCCTCTCCTTCCTTTGGAAAAGCACAGCTGCCAGGAAAGGCAGCACTCTGGGTGGAAGTGGGCCCCGCAGCACCTCATGGAACATGGGAAAAACGTCTTGTTGTATCTGAAGAAAATCTGATAGGGACACCCAGAAAAAAGGAGAGTCCCTGGACGGCCGGCTGCGAAGCACTGTTTGCTACAGACTGGTCTGAAGTTTTGCGCAGGACTGGGCTGCACTCCAGCTGGGAGAAACGGAGGTGTGGCCCGCACTTGACAAACAAGCCAGTTCAAAACCTCGCTGGCAGGTTTTGCAAATGCTGGTACAAGATAAGGGCAGCAAAGCAGCACCAAACAGGGAAGCCCTGGGTAGGAGAAAGCACTGCTTTGTGGTTAAGCCACAACCATCCAAACCCCCAGTCCAGATCTTCCTCGAGAGTTCCAGCCACCTGATCTATGACTTCGACTGTTTTAAACCCTTTTCAGAGTTTCAGCATACCCTAAGAGAGTATTTTAAAATCGAAAGAAATTCCCATCTTACCAGCCTGAAGCAAAGCCAAATTTGTCACTGACTGTAGCTGTCCAGACAGGTTTCTGGGGGGCCAGAGCAAAGACACCACAATTTGGTTTGCAATAGGGTGCCCCCTTTCTCCTCATTTACATATAGCACAGTCTTGATTCTTCTTCCACCAAACGTTCTCAAAAAACTGTACAAGAGACAGGGCAGATTTTTTAGGAGTCTATCATGCTTTAAAAAATATTTAAATAGTAAAGGAAATTGTTTACTGTAAGTGATTAGTTTATTAACGGCTGCTGACAGTTGGTTTGCTGGAGCTTTTTTATTAGAGAGCATAAACTAAAATTGCAGACCAGAAGACAAACTTTAGTGTTTCAACAATTAAAAAGTGGAAGAAAAGGTATGAAACCAGTAATGCAGCATGTCACTAGCTCCATACAAACATGAGAACATGACACATTCTCAGCAAGGTCCCATTCATTAATCATTTCCTGTCATTAGTGTCAGTCACCACACCAGAATTTAAGAAAATTAATAAAAGGATAAGCACTGACATTTAGAATACAAACAAGTCAGTGCTAGTTAGAGAATCCACAGAATTAAGAGTTAACGTAGAGGCAAAAAACAAACATCCATTCTGAAGCAGCCAGCAACTGCTGTAATGCTCTTGTGTGGTACCAAATGGGACTGAAACTGGGCTGAAAAAGCTATTTCTTTGCTTTTCTGCCCTGCACTGAAGGTGAAGGAGTGGGAGAGCTTCACTCCTATGCAAACAGGCTGAGAAAATTGGGGTTGTTCAGCCTGGATAAAAGAAGGTTCCAGTGAGACCCAATTTACAGTATTTAAAAAGGGCTTACATATTTACAGGCCTTACAGTATTTAAATGGGGCTTATAAAAAAGAGGGAGAGTAACTTTTTACACTAGCAGATAGTGATAGGACAAGGGGGAATGAAGTAAGAGAGGGCAGATTTAGATTAGATGTTGGGAAAAAGTTCTTTACACAGAGGATGGTGAGGAACTCGAACAGGTTGCTTAGAAAAGTTGTGGATGCCCCGTCCTTGGAAGTGTTCAATGCCATGTTAGATGGGGCCCTGAACAAGCTGATCTAGTAGTGGGTGGCATCCCTGCCCATAGCAGGGTGGTTGGATCTAGAAGATCTTTAAGGTCCCTTCCAACCCAGACCATTCTATTACTACCAAACTAGGTTTTATTTATCCTCAAAAAATTGCAGAACAGCACGATTTTTTTTATATTTAATCTAAAATAGTTTGACTATAAATTACAGGAAAATGGAGGTGGTCTCATATAGCACAGTAGCTAAGAAAGCACATCTATTCTAAAGTTTATTACAGGCAGTATATAAAGCCTCTATCTTGTTTTGTGAGTGCCCAACTGCATTTAAAATTAGGCTTACCTGCCCTCTGACATTCTTGCTCCTCTTCCAATGAAATCTCTCAGCACAGGGTCTCATGTTTATAGAATTTCTCCCTCAAGAAAAACTGTTATATTCCCTTTAGAATACAATGCTTAAGGATTGTTTCACAGTCAACAACAGATCACCCATTAACAGTGTTAATGCACTCTTAACCATCTACAGACACTGTTGCCAGTGAACACAATATCCAAACTACTTGTTTTTGTCATTTCCTAGCAAGAAAACAAGCAATCAAAAAGGCATCAAAAGATGAGGCAAAGAAAGCCTCATATCCAGTAACTTTATTTCTGCTTGGATTAACATGTCCACACTGGTAAAGGTAGATTTACATACATGTAATGTATGTAAATACATGTTATATTTTTGGTCAGCAAGCATGAAATGACACCATCATCAGCTACACTACCTAGTATTTAAAATGTGTCCAGATATCACAAGGAGTCCCTTTTGGTCCCATTAGCAACACTAAGAGGAGAACTGAGTGCATAACTAGAAGAGATGAAAATCTGAAAGGATGCAATCAAGGATAGCATTTGAGAGGGGGTTTGGTTTTTTTTGACAGGTTGGGCTTCTCCAGAAATATCAATACACTTACTTGTTTAATTTATTCATCAGTGACCTGGATGAAAGGACAGAGTGCCTCCTCAGCAAGTTTGATGATAACACAAAGCTGGGAGGAGTGGTTGATATCCCAGAGTGCTGTGCAGCCCTTCAGAAGGACCTTGGCAAGTTGGAGAGCTGGGCAGAGAAGAACTGTCTAAAATTCAACAAAGGCAAATGTAGGTCCTGCATCTGGGGAAGAATAACCCCCTGCACCAGTGCAGGCTGGGATCTGACCTGCTGGAGAGCAGTGCTGTAGAGGACCTGGTAGTCTTGGTAGTCAAGCTGTACCTGAGCCAGCAGTGTGTCCTTGTGGCCAAGGCCAGTGGAATCCTGGGGGGTATTAGGAAGAGCATTCCCAGGTGAGGCCACATTGGGACTGCTGTGTCCAGTTCTAGGCTCCCCAATACAAGAGACATGGAGTTTCTGGAGTAAGACCAGTGGAAGCTATGAAGATAATCAGGGGACTGGAGCATCTCTCATATGAGGAAAGGCTGGGGGAGCTGGGCATGTTCAGCCCCAAGAAGAGACAATTAAGAGGGAACCTCATCAATGTATACAAGTATGTAAAGGAGGGAGTCAAGAGGATGGAGCCAGACTCTGCTCGGTGATGCTGAGCAATAGGACAAGAAGCAACAGGTAGAAACTGATGCAGAAGTTCCATCTGAACATGAGGAAGAACTTCTTTACTGTGTAGGTTACTGAGCACTGGAACAAGTTGCCCAGAGAGGATGTTGCCCAGTGAGGAGTCTCCCTCACTGCAGTCATGCAGAACCATCTGGATGCAATCCTGTGCTACGTGCTATAGGATGACCCTGCTTGTGCACAGAGGTTGGATCAAATGACCCACTGTGGTCCCTTCCAACCTTACCCATTCTGTGATTCTGTAACTTGGAGGCAAGACTTCTGTGCTGGTATCTCCCATTTCTATAGAATGGGAAAACTGGAGATCTATATTCTACTTCCAACACTAGACTAGTCTATGACCTACAGTTTAAACAGCTGCAAATCTGTGAATCTAAACATTTCCTGATTTGGTCACACAGAGCTCAACATCCCTCCCCCAGTCCAAAATAGCATATCACCACTTAAAAAAGAAAACTTGTCAGTAAATTTAGTCTTCTCTAATGAGTACATATTTAATGGCATACGACTTTCAAAAACATTATTCAAAGAGAGAATACAAAAGTGGTTTTAGTAGGATTTTGAGAACATTCACAAGCATCTATAAACTTGTAGATTTAAGAACCTAAGTTGAGAATTGATGACATGGTCACACTTCATTTCCACATATTAAAGTGGAAGGGATACTGAGAATCCCTGCATTGAGTCTGACTTCCAGGAGAAAGTGAGGTCTAATACATAAATAAAAAATAAAATCTATGGCAGCCCAGAGAAGCTTAACTGCACAATGACTGAAACACACACTGGTTCACAATATTTATTACAACCTATTGCTTTAGATAAACCTGTTGTATGGTTAGTAAACCCAAACCACATTATATGAACCAACCAAAAAAAATTACAGCACAAACCACGTCTCTGTAAAAGTATGCAGTGGAGATGAAGAGAGGCACAACCTTAGAATTGTAAGTAAGAGCACAATGAATGTGTGAGTACAGCTCTCCTAGTAATGAAAATTAAGGTAAATAAAGTTCATACTAATGGTAAAAATCAGAGTAGTATTGTTATATCTGTATACAAAGAATACAGGGTCTTTTTGAATAACCTTCTTTCATTCTCAATTACCTGTAAACACAGCTCTCCCAAACCACCTTCCCTCTGTACCTGAACCAATATATAAAGTTCTATACAGAATGTGCAAATCCAGTATAAGTATTTTTAGGCTCTCTTCTTCAAATAGAAGAAATACAAGTTTAAAAACATTAACACCACAGATTCCCTCTACCCAGCCTCTGCAGAAAGACATCCAAGTACAGAAGTAGCAAAACACTGGACCAAGAAATCCGTAAGAATGCATGAACAATATATGAACAATAAATACAAACACATGTGTAAAAGCAAACAACATTTATCAAGGAAACTACTAATACTGGCAAAGGAAAATGAATTAGGATTTGTCAGCTTACAGATATCTTCCTAAAAAACATTCACATAATGCCTTAAGTAAACGTATAATGTTAACTGAGATCCAACTACATCTTAGGCTGACAGAATTTAATCATCAACTTGTTCATTAAGATGTGATATCCAGTAGTTACATGCCATGCTCCATAGTATTTAATGATACCATATTTATAAGTGTTGCTAGAGCAAGACGTCAGGAGTCAAAATAGTTACTCTATTGGGTTATTTGCTACTGCTGCCTTTTTATTACCACTCCACAGATTCTTTCTGCACCAAACATTTTAATACCCCTCTACCAATCTGCTATTTTATGTTTTTGAAAAGATAAGTTAGATAAAAATATTACACCCTATAGTGAGTGTGGTACAATCTAGTTCTTGTGTTAAGACTTCTGGCCCAAGAGTAATTTAAGAACAGTACCAGCCTGAGCAGAAGACAGTTCTAGAGCACTTAAAATAGGCAGATGTTGAAACAGTCTGGATTTTACTTCAATGCTGGAAAGTGAACCAGAGACTAAAGAATTTACATACACCAATCTCAAGCATAGTCTAGAAGCTCAAGCAATAACCAGAGT